TATTTATGAAGTAAAAAGGAAAAGAATTTCGAATGACAGCTTAGATTTTAACTTACTTGTGTGTCACTATAACTTTGAGAGAAAAAACTTAATTACAAAAGGTATGAATAGTGATAAAATCACTTTGAGTTTACTATTTATTTTTATAAATTTGAGAGAATCATGGTTTGTATCAATCGATAATTAATAAGTAGTTTGAAATCTTCATATAATTTCTAGTCTTACAAATATTGAAAATCAGCTAGAGATTCAATACCTTATTTATAAGATAGACTTTGAATATTTTTGTGTTATTATAGTTCAAAATTCAATTAGTATTTATGAAATAAACAATCTCATCAAGTTCTATATATTTTACTTCTTCTTACAGTGAGCTAATTTACTTTCTTCAGGTTTATTTAATATTTTTTGTAGGATCTGGAATTTATAAATTCATGAAGTAAATCTTAAAGGCAGTTTTGGCTTATTTTAATATTTATAGTATTTAATTAGAGTTATTATTAGAATTAGATTTATTTTTATTGTAATTTAATAATAGATTAAGCTTTTAGTTTTCATTTCAACAACAAAAATTTTATCAGATCACTAAATAGTGTTCAAAATTATAATTTATTGATAGCGATAAAATCAAATAAAGATGCCTATAACAATAGGAATGAGTTTAAAATAAATAATCAATTATACTTATTTTTATGTTTAAGCAATTATTTTAAAGCTGCTTTTTATTAAATAGGAGATGTTAAATTTTGCTTATTAAGAATTAATGAAAATAATAGTAATTTTACAATAATTTTAATTATATTGGTAATAATTTAATAATTCAATATAATGTTATAATTCTATAGATGATTATATTTATTTAAACTAAGTGTCTATTTTTCTTTATAGATAACTTCTTTTAGATTCGAACACTTTTCTCAAAAAATTATATTAATATATCCTATTTATAAAATAAACTTATAAAAAAATAAATTATAAAAACAACCTTATAATTATTTTATTTTATTAATATATCAATTTAAACTCACTTTCATCATAATACCTATAGCACATATCCCAAAATTTTTATTTCATCATTGTTCATAACTTATGACAAATTTGAAATTCATTAAAAATTACACCCAATTACCCAATTTAATCCTTTAGCCTTCTTAATCATAAGATTCTCCTCCACTAAAAAAACACATTTCATATTATTTTACATTTTATAATTTTCTAAAAAATTAAACTCAATATCCCATCTGATATTCTAATCTAATACAGTACTTAAATGAAAGATTTAAATTCATCCAAATCTTCTATCCCATTACCTACCTTGATTTTAATACCACTTTCTTCATACAATCCATCACCACTAAAATTAAGCAGTGACTTATATTTTTTACATCTTATTTATTTCTTTCGGAATCACTATGCCTAATATCCAATTTCTAAATTTTTTCATAATTGATATTCACCAGTCAATGTTATGAAAGAAAGCATTTCTAATCTATCTGAAAACTCCATCCTATAATTTAATTTAAACCATGGCCCTCTTCAATATAACATCCACCACTACTTATTTAGATTTACATTCTTTAATCCTTAATAGTTTCTATTCATAAACCTTCCTTTTATCCATCCAAGTTGTATCATATCTTTCCTATTGTTTTAATATAACCATATCAATTCCTTTTTTAAACATAATAAATAAGGAAATATTTCTTAAAGATTAATAAATTATATACTTATGATTTGTAAGTACAATCTTAATTTTTTCTAAAACATGCTGCTTGTTTCACTTTCATAAAAAACACTTATAATGCCTGTTGGCTTTAGGAAATTCAATTTATTTTAGAATAGTTAGTTCATCTTTTCAATATATTTATTTTATATTTATTACTTTAGGAAAATATTAACTAAAAACCATTAATAGAATTGTTATTTATTAACTTTATTTGAAATGAATAAACATAAATAAGAAACAGATTTTTTAGCATTAATGGTTGTATTAAGTTTGAATTAAAAAAATAATAAATTAATTAATATCATCATGTTTCTCTTCGAATATAGTTGTGTTTACTCTAATGTTAACAAATTCTAAATTTTTGTATTCCATATTACTTAACTAATAGTAAAGATTTAAATTTAAAAAAAGATAAGTAAGCTGATATGATTGATGAGTAGTTTCCATAATCTTAGATACTGCTCTCTAGGCTTTGATGTTTCAATTCAGATCATATTTACAATTTATTAACATCTGTGTTAGATTCATAAATTAGAGCCTCTAAGATTTAAAAATACAATCCTTATTTTTCGGAATTATTAAATTGTAACATCAAGATATGCATAGGCTAGAAAATATTTTAATATCATATAAATTCATGATCCTAATTATATAGATTCCTTTATGCTTTAAACAATATTTTTTTAACTAAAAATTAAATTCCAGTTTGCATTTTGCATATTCAGCCTCCAATTATTTCAATTTAATCTTATCGATATTATTTCTTAAGATGGTAATAGCTGTTTATGTCAAGATTCATGCAAAATCTTAGAAATATATCATCATAATTATTTATTGTGAATTGATATTTGCCTGAAATGTCAAATTTCTGATGTTCCACTTGAAAATTTACTAGAGAGATTATAAGTTAAATTTTGTAAGTGAAAATTCAACATAAGCTTGATGGAGTGGATTAAATTGGTCAAAAGATTGCTTAAATAATCTAATTTTATAAATATAGAATACTAATCAATTTTATAAATCCTATTTGGCGTAGCATCCATTATATTATCCTTAGTTGGTTGTTCATACAATTTCATATAATCTTTAGGAATACCCTATATTTATTTGGTCTGAAAAATCGTAAACAATATTAAATAAAATCAATAAGGAGATATATTACTATTATGATAAATGAAATTAAGTTATTAAAAACAAGTGATTTCATCTCTAAATTGGTTTTTACTCGATTTTAATAAAAAGAAAATTTTCAAAAATATTTATGATTTAGATTAATTACATTAATAAAATATTAATCTTATTATTTTTTTGTATGTTCTTCTAATTATAAGTTATAATTAGAGAATTTTAAAGCTTAATTATGACTTTCAAATATTTATAGAAAGAATCCAAAGTTGATCTTGATCTTTATTATATAGTGTTATAAAAGGATAGTAATATTGGAATCTGATCCTTTAATACTTAGCCATAAATTGAATATGTCTTTATACAAATAATATATATTTAAATATAATTATGAATAAGGAAAAGGTGATGTAATATTTTCTTAATCTTATTTATAGAAATAAGAAGATTCAAATATCAAAAGACTACCAATAATTAATAAAAAATATGGTATTGCAATTGTAATTTCTAACCATTTCCAATAAGTAATAAAATATGCTAATGCTATTATAGCAAATTTACAAATTGGAAAAAACACTTTGACACAAACATTTTAGACCTCCCTAAAATTACTCTCTATATAAAATCTTTGATATAATTAAATTGTAGGAAAGTTCATTAATAAATGAATAATGTACATTAATTATCGGCATATCTCGAAAACTTAAAAAGAATAGAACTATAGTTAACATCTATTAGTTCATATCAAACTTAAATATTAAAAATATAGAATACTTTAACTAAGAGGGCTTCAAATGAAGTCATGGCCCCAGAAATTGACTATGACAATTTTCTACCAAAATTATCAGCAATAAATGAGAAAATAATCAATACTAACCAAGATAAACAATTAGATTATTGATTTTGGTTGAAAGGTAATACAGTATCGAAAATTGTATTTAATGATTTACTAAAATCATTTACAAAAATAAAAGCAAGACATTTTTCATCTAATTACTCCGATAAAAACTAATTTAGGCATTCAGAATAAGATTAACAAAAGACAGGCAAATAAAAATCCAACTAATATTTAATTTTTCTAACTAACCTGATTATTAGCCATTACAATACAATTATTAAGAATACTCTTTGTAATATAACCATGCTCCACAAATTTATTTGAATGCCTCATCATGAGTCAATTATTTTGATTTTTGAAGGTGTATTTTTGATATACTTACATTAAATAAATCATATACTTCAATTTAAATTGATATATCGTTCTTCAATGAAAATTAAATAATAATGGTCGTAATGAAATCATAAACAATTCCTCTTTATTTATAAAAAATAAATAAATATTCAGGTCTTAACGAAAATATCTATTAAAATTAATATATTATCTAATACTATCATTTCAATATGATCAATTATTTAAGAAATTACTCAATTTTAATTTAAAATTCTAACAATAAAAATATAGCAATTAAGAAGAAACACTAGCAAAGTCAATTTATATATATGTCATTAAGATTACTTTTAAATATTTTTATTACCAATTATGAAATGAATAATTTTTTTTATTCTAAATGATTATAATAATAAAGCTTTTAGTAAAAGTATGAATCTATTATAATATTTATGAAATAAGTACTAGAGTTGATCTATAGAATAAGATAATCATATATATTTTTGAAATAAATAAGACTTCAAAGATTAAAGTAGAATTACTAAATATATCTTCATACTGAGAAATCAATATCAAAAATGTCTAATTATCTTATTATTCACAAATCTCTAATATAACCAATAACTTTTTGAATATAGCCTAAAAGTTATGATTAAATTTAAAATCATTAGATTCTATCTTTTATCAATAAATTTTATTTGCTAGTTTTTTTATAACTAAATATAATAAAAAAGAAGGATATAAAAAATTTATTAGGATTAATAAATGAATTAGATACATTCATTCAGATTTATATTTATCTATATTAAAATAATTTACTCTATTATTAAGGACAGTTGTATGTTCTGATATCTAATGTTATACGCGCGAATAATATTGAAATGATTTTGAAATACCTTAAAAAAACTATCCTCTTTTATTATATCCTTATAAAATCATTTAAGAATAACCTAATAAACCTTATTTATTAATTAGTAGTTCTTTCTAATATATAAATGATATCTTATACTTTGATAAAATAGATTCAGATTATATAAAAATTCAAAGGCTTGATTCTACTGATAAGATAATAAATTTATAGAATATATTTTATGATTGAAAAATCAATCTATTTATTAATCATTTTTATTTCTTAAGATAAACTCTACTATAGAATACTTAATATATGAAAATTATGTATTTTATAGAATAATAAATTCAAGCATGATTGTTAAGTGATATATTTGTAACTTATAAAATTAAGTAGCTAAAAGTACATTTTTTAATAAATAGATTAGATTTCTGGAATGAATGTAATTATTAAAAATCATAAAATTAGATTTAATCTACTAATGATGTTAATAACTAAAATTATATAAATGTAATTTAAAACTCATTTTTTTCATTACTCCTTTAAATCATCTAATATTAAAATTTTATTTCAAACTTCAAAAATTAATTTATCATAAAATTCAATAAATGTAAATTTATTGTTAATTTCTATTGTTAAAAAACAATCGATCAGTAATATATAGATAACTAAAATAATAAATAAGTAAGTAATACTCAATTCTATGGTATTTATTAATCTATAAAATTAAACTACATTTTAAGATTAAAGCTACATAATTGTGTACTCCTATATTTCTGAAATTGTTATAAAATAACATTAATATTTTGTAAAAAAGTTAAAGGAATAATGCTATTCAATTTTAATGAAGAAATATAATTGAATTTCAGATAATAATATGTAAAATTATAGATTTTTCTTTTTTCAGTTTTCTTTAAATACATATAGATTGCACTTAATTTCAATTTTTATACCTAGATTATTAAATTAATCAGATCATATGATGAATGATATTCTGAAACAATAAATAGGTTTTGGAAATGCTTCAATTTTGAAAGTTACTAATATTAATAGCTTTTATATTTTCTTATTGTTGCTTCTAAAGATATTAAATTGAATTAAGATACCCTATTTTCAAATCTAGATTTCAAGAAACTTTATATTTAATTTAGTTATAAAAATATAAAATTTAAGGTATTATTAAGTATTATAATAAAAAATTGGATATTTACAACTTGAATTCAGTTTAGATTATTTTAATCAAATATTTCATATAATGATAAACCTAAACTCTATATTTATAGTGAATCATTAAAGAATGTTAAAAAATATAGAGAGGATCTGTAAATTAGAATTTATTTACAATGATTCTTACTTTAAATGAAGCTAATATTATTCCTAATTTTCTCATTCTAGTTTATTATCAAATAGGAAGGCAATATAAAATTTGATTTATTTAATACTAAACATATCTTAGATGATTTTATTTCAGAATTATTGAAAAGACAGTAATAAAATAAATTGATATAAATATTTTTTTTTACAAATATTGACCAAAGAGTATTAGTAGTTTTATTTTTTTTCTGATTATAGTCTCTATAATTTATTTTTATAAATAATAGGATTAATTTTTATTTTTATCAAAAAAAATATTTGACCTATCAATTTATTTAAAACCTTAATCTAATTTATCAATTGTATATTATTTATTATACTAATTTTACTTCAATATATATTTATAATCCCCTAATTTTTTATAAATAAATACTTAAACTTCCTAATTTTATAAAATTTTACATTCACCTTTAAACTTAACTTAAGTAGTATCCTATAGTAAATCAAAAAATTTGTTATCTAAATTATCGTTTTTCCACCAAATATTTCATCTGCGAAATTTCTTACCATTTTTATATATTAACCCATATGCAACAGATGATAAATCCGCATAGGATTTTTTTTGAACTAGTAATACCAAAAAGAAGGTAATGATTAATCTAGTATGAATTTTTCAAAAAGATTTCATTTCTTGATTCATCTTTCTCATCTTACTAATTATATATACCATCATTACTAATCTTATATATATATTACAATATATTTTATCCTACTAATAATATTTCCCATAATAGATTATTTCATTCTCATACTAACCTTCTTAATATACATGAGCTTACTTAATTCTAAATTAGTTCTTTCTACGTAATTTAGTAAATTATTTATTATCATTTTATTCTATTTTATCAAAGCTACATCTTCTTCTTCTTCTAATGGACGAATCATCAATTTATTGATTTTCTTAGTTCTTTTGAATCTGGTCCCACAACAAATTTATATTTCAAATTCTTCAAGTATTCCTTATTATTTAACTTTTAAAACTAATAGTCCTTATTATTATATTATTCTTTATTCTATTTAGATTTATTTAAAAAGTATTCTCTATTATTAACTCTTGAATGTTAATAAGTTTTTATTTTAGGTCACATTTTGATTCATAATCTCTTCAGGTTACTTTTAATTGGTCTCATAAGGGGTTTTTTAATTTTTTGGCAAAATTTACTGATTTTAATAAGATACTTTAATTAAAGAAATTGAGTATATGATCTAGTTTAGTTAAATCATATGGTAAGCATGTTTAACTACAATATTTCTAATTTTTTCCATTTTTTTGTAATTAATTTTCTTTTCTTAAATTTATAAGAAATATCCAAATCTTCTCTTTACTCAGATTGTTGAATTTCTTTAGATTGAAATTGAACTCATCTGGCTTCTAATAGATTATTAAAATTGTTCAAATGATATTAAGATGTAATATTTTTTGAGTTTAATGATTGTATATGTAATGATTAATCATTTGACATTTATGTTATGTGCATTCCTAATTCTATATATTTTATTATTAATAATGAGATTTATTAGTTCAGTTTATACTTTATATCTAATTTTTTTTAATCTGAATGCTAGGATTCATCTTAGGCAAATTATTTTGAAAGAAAATAATAATAAATATCCATTTACTGAAGTTATATTTAAGTTTAATATCTGATAATGCTAATTTTGGAAATCATAATCAATTTTTGGGTAAAAAAATTTAATTGCTTAGAATTTAATTATTGAAAATTGAAGTGTATCTCATTGCTAAAATAAATATAAATATAAAGAAGCCCTCATTTTAAATATTTTGTATAATCTA